TATCAGACAGCGATATACCACGCGTTTGACCGCTATTCAATCAACTATAGATGCATTAAATACAGAAACCATTGGCGTAGGTAACCGCTTCGTGAGTAGTACATGCCATCAAAATTAGTTTATTTTTAAGGTGGAAGGGATATTAAAATTGTCATTGCTATTGCAGCACCTCGGAAACTCGTATACTCTAAATCAGAATAAAATACTATGCTGATTTAGTCATGATTGTATAACTGTCCAATTCATCACATCAGAGATCACAATATTTAAGATAGAGCTTTGAAAGATAGAGGTTTGTCGGATTAAGACTAGGATTTTTTACAGCCCACTATGGGCCAGTGATGCCATTTTTTTACATAATTAGAGCAATGAGTTACTAAATAATATATAATTACGTAATCACTTATAAATATTTAAGTGTAATTCCCAAATCCGAGTACATGGGACAATATAATTGGTATCAATTTAAAGTTCAACCACTCCTCTTGGATATACTATCAACTTCTCGGTTTGATGTCCTTCATGGGTAATTTTTCACAAAGAAGTCAGGGTCCATTTGACCCGCTAAATATTGACCGATCTTTATCAAAACAGGCATGCTTATCCTTTAGCCCGATCCACCTCTCCATGTACAACTTCACGATGTTTGAGCCATAATTGCGGCCTCTGGAGGGACCAGAAAATCAGACAATAATAAATTGTTTTGTCCATTTCATCCCCTAAATATTAACCGATCTTTACCAAAAACGATAAGGGCCTTCATTGTACAGAACCTACATGAAAGATTGATTATGGCTTGTATAAATATTAACAGAATATTATCAAAAACAGTAGGGGTCTTCTTTAGCCATAACCCATCCTACATGCAAAATTTCGTTACATTGATCTGTATGGTGTTTATAAATTATAATGGACAGACAGACCGACACACATGTCTACATCGACTAGAGGAGTCGATGTAAAAGAAAACATGGATAAAATCTATATGGTATAGCCCATATAGATTTTTTCCAAAATTTTCAACAATGATCGCACTCCAAATTCATGTTCATTCCGGTGTTTTAGTTGAAAAAAAAAATCATTTAAGTTAAAAACTTCAAATAAAATAATAAGTGAGTAGCCGTTCCAATAAACTATTTCGGAACTGAAGATAAAACATATTACGCTTATAACATTCACTTTTTTTGCAAATGACATTGGGGTGTGTCAGCAAAGATGATGCCAATATTGATACAGCCAACCGTTAATTACTCATGTTATGACAAATGAGTGAAAGGTATCTTAGATATATTAAATAAATATTAAGTAGTAAAATGATGTTAAACGATGCCGACTCGATATTTGTATATCCGCCATCATGATGTGAACTGATTAGATCCTGCAAATCGGGATATTAACATACCCCTAACTTAATATGGATGTTTTTCATTTCTGTATTATCATGTTTCATTCCGAGTTCAAAACTAATAAACCGGTCCTAGGACATCGACGCAATATTTTATGCTAATCTCCGAATAATTGTCCCAAGACAATTATTGGGGGATTTGAGAAAATATATTTTTATACCCTTCACCACACTGTGATACAGGTTATTATGTCTCTGTGCATATGTCTGTAACAGGCAAAAGGAAACGAGATAGACACATGGTTCCTTTTGAGAATATGCATAGAATCACTTTGTAAGTCGTATTATGCATGTCCGTCCATCCGTCTGGCTGTCATTGTTAAATTGTACAGGTCGCATTTTTGATTCGAATTATATGGAAGTTGGCACAGCTCATTTATTTGGCCCAAGGACGAACCCTATTGAAATTGGAGAAAATCGGTTCAGATTTAGATATAGCTCCCATATATATTTTCGTCCGATTTTATGTAAATGGTGCACCAAAGACCTTATATATCCTTCGATGTGTATTAAATTTCGTAAAAATCGGTTCAGATTTAAATATAGCTCTCATATGCATTCATCCGATTTAATGTAAATAGTGCATTAAAGTCCCTATATATCCTTCGATTTGCACGAAATTTGGCATAGAGTACTGAATTAAGTCTAGAAAAATGTGTGTTAAATTTCGTGAAAATCGGTTCAGATTTAAATATAGATCCCATATATATGTTCGTCCGATTTTATGTAAATGCCCCTATATATCCTCCGATTTGCACGGATTATAAGTAAATGTAGAACTCAAAATGTGGCCGAATGCACAAAACATACAGAAATAAGTGTAACCTAACATTTGACAAGTTTCGATGAAATCGGTTTAGATTTCGATATTTTGCTTTAAATTTATTTATATAATTTTGACCCATTGTAAGAAACTCTATATCTGACCAAAATGACTTGCTTAATTTCATATTAATGGTCATTCAAAAATGCGACGACTGTTAGGATACCATCTATTATGCCCGAAGTGATGAAGGGTATCATATAGTCGGCCCCGTCCGACTTTACTACTTTCCTTACTGGTTTGAGAATATATATGTGCTACATAAATACAACAAACTAATTACATTATGTACCTCATAGTATGTACGAATTTATTTTACCCATATATACCCTGAAATACCAATAAATTTCATTTTGGTTGACAATGCTACTCCTGTAAAACGTTTCATCACTACAGTCACTGAATAATTGTTCCCCACTACTCTGGTCCAGTTGTTCGAGAAACCTACTCCGCTCCAGCTGTCCAAACCACATACATCAATTCTGCTGTCAACAGGCCCCTTCTGTAAGCTAATCTACTTCTGCTGCCCAATAAACCTACTCTGCCTTAGCTGTTCAAATCACCAGATCCTGCTTTCCAGCATACCTGACCAGGCTGTTAAAACCACCTACTCTGCCACTGCATATGTTTGTATGTGTATATATTTGTAGAATGCAACGCCCTGTGGTCCATGTTTGGATATAGTCCTCATATAAAAATCCTGCCCTATTTTCATGATCCCAGGATAATTTGCTTATAAACCGAAACCAATACAATATAGTTCTCATTTCAATATAATTATCTATCAAATATATGTACTCCCACCTATTGTTATAATCCTAAACTCATTATATCAAATCATGGTGGTTCTTATTTGGGGTACTGTGTTTTTGGCGAGTAAAATATTTTTAATATAACTCCCAGCGTAATTTTAGATATTTTATAATCCTAGAAGCTTTTAACACCTTAGTTGTTGTAATTTGGCATTCCATGTTGATATAGCTCCTATATAAAGGTCCTGGCCTCATTTTCGGTGTCCGAAATATTCAACCTGATTATGAAAAACCTTGATATTTTCTGATCGATAATTTGCCCTTAAATTTTTTTAAATAAATGTCCCGACAGATTTGGGTAGTTTGAACGCACTCCATGTTATAAAAAAGTTCTGCCTGGCTAAACCTAGCTACGTTTTTTCCAGTTGATAAGAATACTACACGTTTCGAATTTTTCACTAATTTTCCGAGATAGATCATAACGATTGATACATTTTTTTCATTTACCCGATCACTTACAAATATCCGACTATCATACAAAATTAATTTTTTGACGAACTTCCTTTTCAGCGCTAAACCAAATATAAAGACTATCTTGACCTTAACACCACTCTATCGATACTAATTCGAAAGTATCGAATTATTGTTGTCAACACCATGATAGACGATTAATTTATACAGACGTAACCGATTTATATTTTGTTTACCAACAAGATTGAAGTGTATTTCAGCAGTCTTTTGTTCATTTGAATAAAACAAAAATTTACATTTAAATTTGATACTCTATCATAAATGTCAAGTTCGGTAAAGTGCATCGCCAATAAATGTAGGAGTATTGCTGGAATATGTAATCTTTTTCAGGAAGGTCTTTTCAATCATTGAATTCTATAAACATCAAATGGCTGTAAACAATAAAAAATTGCACCTCTGTCCAGCCGAAGATGGGTTGTAAACAAGTTTTAGGCTTTTATTTCTTACTTCCATGATGAGCCGCCGGTCACATTTGTCTTCGTCAATGCGTATAGGGGCTAATTATGTAGATGGTTGATGGCAGATGCTGCGAATGAAGTTTATTAGCATTTGTATTGGCATACTGTGGCCAGGTTTTGTGTGTGTGTGTGTACGTGTGTTAAACATTTACTTAAACTATACCAATAGGTTTGTGGTAGGCAAATTACCATTTAATTTATGGGATTTTTTTCAACATAAAAAAATCACACACTAACACACAGAGAATTATGAAACGTGCGTTTTTGTCACCATTGACTCTTTGCTTTGCTTGAAATGTTTGGTCAACTGAGGAAACTATGTTGTATCAACACCAATGATGCCTTAGTATAAATTAATCGCCGATGATGACCAACAGCATCAGTTTCAACGTTTACTTCAGTCTGTAAACTACATCACTAGTCAAATTTTTAGAACCAATTCATAATTTAAAATGGTTAGTTGAAAATCCAAAGAACATTTTGAACATAAAAAAATTGATTAGATTATCGGATTAAATTAATCAAAAATATATTTTGCATTATGTGAAAGAATGTGCGAATGTGATTTTTTATAAATATTGAATCAAGCGTTTTTATTAGTTCCTAAAACTATACTTTAGAAAATAAACTAAAAATATATGTGCCTTATCATTGCAGAAATTCTTCATTGCTTTCGCTCTTTTGGCTGTCGCTGCCGCCGATGTCAGCCACTTGTCCAAGAAATACTTGCCACCTCAACGTAACAGCTTTGAAACCACCTATTCCGTACCATCTGCCACAGTTCAACAGACTTACACCGCTCCAGTTCAACAAGCCGTTCAATACCACGAACATCATGAACACCACGCTGTTGCCCCAGTCACTGAATACTTGCCTCCCGTTCAACAACAAACTGTCCAACAAACCTACACTGCCCCCGCTGTTCAACAAACCTACACTGCCCCAGCTGTTCAACAAACCTACTCCGTCCAACAAACCTACTCTGCTCCAGCTGTCCAAGAAACCTACTCTGCCCCAGCTGTTCAACAAACCTACTCTGCCCCAGCTGTTCAGACCACCTACTCTGCTCCCAGTGTAAGCTACTCTGCCCCAGCTGTTCAAGAAACCTACTCTGCCCCAGCTGTCCAAACCACCTACTCCGCTCCTTCTGTAAGCTACTCTGCTCCTGTTGTCCAACAAACCTACTCTGCCCCAGCTGTTCAAACCACCTACTCAGCTCCTGCTGTCCAACAAACCTACTCTGCCCCAGCTGTCCAAACCACCTACTCAGCTCCTGCTGTCCAACAAACTTACTCTGCCCCAGCTGTTCAAACCACCTACTCTGCTCCAGCTGTCCAACAAACCTACTCTGCCCCAGCTGTTCAAACCACCTACTCAGCTCCTGCTGTCCAACAAACCTACTCCGCACCAGCTGTCCAAACCACCTACTCTGCCCCAGCTGTTCAACAAACCTACCCTGCTGTCACTGATACTCAATATGCTCCCAACGGTGGTTACATTTACAAGAAGAAGTAAATCGTTTGAAACTGTGAAACTATTTAGTTTTTAGAATAATTGTTATAACTCTTTAATAAAAGAGAATTTTAAATAAATAATTAAAAATGTATATTTTTTGTTTAAATGAATTATACTTAATTTTTAAGACGTATATTTTTCTAACGCATTATGTATTTATCATAAATTTATTTCCGCCTGATCCGTAAATGAGTTCTCAACCAAGTATGATATTCTCAAGACAGTTGCTTCGTCGTCCGTCGCTATGACGAAATCTTGAACATCAAACTGTATTGTAAAATGTGGTCATATATCAAATTTTCGAACAATATACAGTCAAATTTTGAAAACCCGGTGAAATTGGGTAACATCGGTTCAGATATATATTCCACATTTTCAAGAATTTTGATAATTTTCGAATTATGATTTCTTGAAATCCTTGAATTTTTAGTGTGGGTTGTTGTTGGTGTGTAGGCGTGAGATAAGGCTGGGTTTTTGGAAATTCGATATAGAAGGGTACGAAATGTACCAAATATGGTACCCTTTGTATTAGGCGAACGCTAGAATTCTGAAATTTTGAATGTGGGTCACTGATGGAATGTTTGAAAGATGTACAAAAGGGTTTTATGGAAATTTGACCTATAATTGTACTAAAAGTACTAAACCTCTAATTTTACATATATTGAACATATAAAGCTAAAATCTTGAAATTTGATATGGAATACAGGTTGGGAAGTGGTGTTGATGTATGGAAATGGTTTAAGAATTTCGTACTTATTTTTATAAAAACTACAAAATGGTACTAAATTTGGTACTATTTGCATTTAGTTGAGTGTATATAGATGGAATTCTGAAAATCGGAATTAGGACTACTGTTGGAGTACAGAATTGAGGTAGTTTTAAAAAATCGTACTTATGTGTACGAAAAGTACTTAATGGTACTAAATTTGGGGCGAGTTGGATTTCGGTTCACAGATAGAACTGGAGTCTTGAAATTGGGAATTAAAATGACTGTTGCAATGTAGAATTGAGGTAGATTTTGGAAATTCGTACTTATTGGTACAAAAAGTACTAAATGGTACTAAATTTAGTACAATTTGGAAATTCGTATTTATGTGTACGAAAAGTACTAAACGGCACTAGATTTGGTACACTTTGGGTTTGGACTGGAAAACTAAAATTTGGAATAATAATTGCTTTTGGAATATAGATTTGAGATATGGAAGCATGGTACTTATGTGTACCATTTAGTACACACTATATTTGGTACAACTTGATTATGTTTGAATAGAGTTGGACTCCAGAATTTTTGAATTAAAATAACTGTTGGAGTGTAGGATTGAGGTAGGCTTAACTATAGAAACAAAAGTACTAAATGGTACCCAATAGTTGACAAATCTTTTTTGTGTTAACGGATAGGGTTGAGATCCTGAAAATTTGTCATTAATTGTACTAAATTTGGTACAGTTTAGATTAGAGCGAACGGATAGAGATGGAAAACTTAAATTTGGAATGCAAATTGCAGGATTAAGGTAGTATTTGAATTTCATACTTATGGATAGGAGAAACACTAAATAGTACTAAATAGGGTACAATTCGTTTTGTGTGAGCGGGAATCGTAAAATTTGGAATTAGGGGTGGAGTGTAGGATTGGTACTAAGTTTAGTACAATTTAGATTTCAATGAAAAGATATATTATATTTGAAAATAAAATTACTGTTAGAGTACAGGATTGAGACAGTGTTAAAAATTCAAACTTAAAGTACGAAAGGTACTAAATGGTACTCAATACGCTACAATTCGGATTTATGTGAACGGATAGGGCTGGGATTCTGAAATTTATGAATAAAACCAGTGAGCGGAGCAGTATAGTCGAACGGGGCCGACCATATGATACCCTACACAACTACCACGAAAATCACACTTTCGGCGGTTCTATATCCTGAGCCTGGTCAATATTTCGTGATATTTGCACCCGTTTTACAGATTATAGATCAACAACGCCTATTTCTAAGTCTTGCATATTTTCCAAAATGTTTTTTTCTTGAAGAGAATTTTTACGCCATAGAATAAAAAATTGGTCACTTTAGGTTTTGGTTGATTTGACCCTCGGAAAATTGACCGATCATCATCTAAACAGCCGCTCTAAGTATTTGGTCAGATCCCCTTCACCTTGTAAAATATATCATGTTCTGTATATAATAATTGCCTCTAAAGCGACTAGAAAATCTGACTAAATTAAAGTTTTCGGTTCATTGCACCCCCTGAATGAAATCTCAACTTCACCGAAAACTATAAGCGTCGTCCTTGACCATAATCGGAACTTCATGTACACTTTCAAAGCGATCAGCGATACATTTCCGTCCCCTAATGGAATAGCAGTAATAATATGCACATAGTCACCTTCACTTAATTACGTATAACTCCCCCATCGGAGTATATACAGCCATATAATTGGTATCAATTTGAGGGTCAACAACTCATCTTGGACATACTATCAACATCTCGAGTATATGTCCTTCAGGAGCAAGTATATACGTCCCAGAATAAAAATTTTGTAATTTTTCACACAAAAGTCAGGGTCCATTTGACCCGCTAAATATTGACCGATCTTTATCAAACTGGTATGCTTATTCTTAGCCCCGATCCTCTTCTCCATGAAAAATTTCACGATGTTCGGACCAAAACTGCGGCCTCTGGAGCGACCAGAAAAAGCGACAAAAATTTAGTATTTGGTCCATTTCATCCCCTAAATATTAACCGATCTTTATCAAAAACAATAGGGGTCTTCATTGGCCAGAACCCATCCTACATGCAAAATTTCGTGAAGATTGGTCCATAACTGTGGCCTGTATCGTGTTTACAAATTATAATGGACAGACGGACGGACGGACGGACACACATGTCTTGATCGACTCAGCTAGTCGAGATATGACGATCGGTATACTTAAAGGTGCGTCTAGGACCAATATTTCGCGGCGTTACAAACTTTTGGGGCTGCACAAAGCTATAATACCCTGACAACATAGTTGTGTAGGGTATAATTACTGTTGGAGTGTGGAATTGAGGAAGTTTTATAAACTCGTACATACGTCTACGGAAAGTAATATATGGTACTAAACCAGTGAGCGGAGCAGTATAGTTGGACGGGGCCGACCATACGATACCCTACACAACTACCACGGAACTCAAATTTTCTGCGAATGTTTATTCTGAGCCTGGGCAATATTTCGTGATTTTTGCACCCTCTTGCTCGATTAGAGGTAAACAGCTCCTCTTCCTCGCACTGACATATTTTCCGAATATTACGATTATTCAGTACAGCTATTGTCCAGATTCCCTTCACCGTGGGTTGTGTTGTGATGTTCGGCTTTCATTTGTGGTCTAAAGATCGACTCGAAAATAACACAAAAAATTAAGTTTTTGGTCCAATTCATTCCAAAATTATTATCTGATCATCACCGAAAATTATAGGCGTTGTCCTTGACCATAACTGGAACCTCATGAAACATTTCAAAGCGATCAGTGCTGTATTTCCCCTCTCTAGAGTAATAATGGGTTACTAAATAATATAGGAATACGGAGATACCTGTGAATATTTAGGTGTAACTCCCACATCCGAGCACATACAACAATATAATTGGTATTAATTTAAAGGTCAACGACTGCTCGTGGATATAATATCAACTTCTCGGGTCTATGTCCTTCAGGGGTAAATATATACGCTATAGAATACAAATTTTGTCATTTTTCACACAAAAGTCAGGGTCCATTTGACCCGCTAAATATTGACCGATCTTTATCAAAACAGGCATGCTTATTATTTGGCCCGATCCCCTTTTCCATGCAAAATATCACGAAGTTCGGGCCATTATTGCGGCCTTTGGAGCGACCAGAAAAACCGAAAAAATTAGTATTTGGTCCATTTCATCCCCTAAATATTAGCCGATCCTTCCCAAAAACAATAGGGGTCTTCATTGGCCAGAACCCATCCTACATGCAAAATTTCGTGAAGATTGGTCCATAACTGTGGCCTGTATCGTGTTTACAAATTATAATGGACAGACGGACGGACGGACGGACGGACACACATGTCTAGATCAACTCAGCTAGTCGAGATATGACGATCGGTATACTTAAAGGTGGGTCTAGGACCAATATTTCGCGGCGTTACAAACTTTTAAGGCTGCACAAAGCTATAATACCCTGACAACATAGTTGTGTAGGGTATAATTAGGTTTAATTTGGTTGTTGATGAACGGATAGCGCTGGAATCCTTAAATGTAGACTTAAGGTTATTATTGGAGTGCATGACTGAGGTAGTTTTGGAAATTCGTACTTATGGGTACGAAAAGCTCAAAATATGGTACCATTTGGACTTTGGTGAACGGGTAGAATTCGAATCCTGAAAGTTGCAACTTAGGTTACTGTGGGAGTTTAGATTCAGTTTGGAATATGATTACGAAAAGTACTGTGGTACCAAATCTGGTACAATTTTGTTGTTGGTAAACAGACAGAGCTGGAATTCTTAAATTTTGATTTATGAGTACGAAAAATACTAAATTTGGTATAATTTGGACTTTGGTGGAATTAAGAGGGCAAGATTGATATAGTTTTAGAAATTCTTACTTATGAGCATGATGACACTAAATTTGGTTGGATCCTGAGATTTGGAATTTAGATTACTGTTGAAGTGTATACTGAGCTATGGAGATAACTTTGGAAACTCGAATTGATGTATACGAATATTAAATAGAATAGCAAATGCACTAAATTTGGATTTGGGTAACGGAGAGAGCTGGAAACCTAAAATTTAGTGGTGATGATATGGAGGTAGTCTTGAAAATGAGTAATTATACCCTTCACCACACTGTGGTACAGGGTATAATGTCTTTGTGCATATGTTTGTAACAGGCAAAAATAATCGAGATGAAGAAGAAATGAGAATATGCACAGAATCACTTTCTGAGTCGATTTATGCATGTCCGTCTGTCCGTCCGTCCGTCCGTCCGTCCGTCCATGTATTTTTGTTAACAATGTACAGTTCGCATTTATGATCCGATTTGGATGAAATTTGGCAGAGGTCACTTAATTGGCCCAAGGACGAACCCTATTGAAATTGGAGAAAATCGGTCCACGTTTAGGCATAGCTCCCATATAAGGGTACCCCAAAATTTTCGGTATTTTGAGGTTCTTGAGCGCGTTTTTAACTGAATTTGCTGAAATTTGGTACTTTGAGTTCTTACTGGGTAGCAAATCTCTCTACCAAAAATTATAAATAATGGTCCATTTTTTCGGATAGCCCCCATATAAGGGTACCCCCAATTTTCGGTATTTTGGGGGTTTTGATCGCATTTTCCGACCGAATTCGCTGAAATTTTGTACTTTGTGTTGTTATTGGGTAGCAAATCTCCCTACCAAAAATTATAAATAAAGGTCAATTTTTTCGGATAGCCCTCATATAAGGGTACCCCCAAATTTGCGGTATTTTGAGGTTCTTGATTGCATTTTTCGACCGAATTCGCTGAAATTTGGTACTTTGTGTTCTTATTGTGTAGCAAATCTCCCTACCAAACATTATAAATAAAGGTCCATTTTTTCGGGTTCTTGGGCTCGTTTTATAACTGAATTCTCTGAAATTTTGTACATTGGGTTCTTATTGGGTACAAAATTACTCCACTAAAAATTATAAATATAGGTCCAGTTTTTCTGGTACTCCCCATATAACGGTACCCCCAAATTTTTGGTATTTTGGGTTTCTGATCGTATTTTTCGACCAAATTGACAGTAATTTAGTACTTCTTATTAGGTAGCACATCTCTCCACTATAAATTATAATTATTGGTTAATTGTTTCTGGTAGCCCCCAGGTTTTGAGGTTCTTGAACCAAATTCTTTTTTCTGGTACAGGGTATTATGTCTGTGCATATATTTGTAACATGCAAAAGGAAACGAGACAGACATATGGTTCCTTTTGAGAATATGCATAAAATCACTTTTTGAGTCGATTTAAGCACGAAATTTGGCACAGACAAATTAGGTCTAGAATGAAATCGGTTCAGATTTAGATATAACTTCTATATCTGACCAAATGAACAATTTAATATCGGTTGCAGAATGACGTGTTTATGGTTCCAATTTCATTTTACTGGTTCTTTAAAAATGCGACTTCTGTTAGGATTCATCTGTTGAATATACTCAAAGTGGTGAAGGGTATCATATAGTCGGCTCCGTCCGACTTTACTACTTTCCTTACTGGTTATGTATTCGAAAAGTGCTAAATGGTAGTAAATATGGAACCTGTACGTATTTGCTGAAACCAATAATTGGAATTCTGATATATTTATACCCTTCACCACACTGTGGTACAGGGTATTATGTCTTTGTGCATATGTTTGTAACAGGCAAAAGGAAACGAGATAGACACATGGTTCCTTTTGAGATTATGCATAGAATCACTTTTTAAGTCGACTTTTGCATGTCCGTCTGTCCGTCCATGTATTTTTGTTAACAAAGTACAGGTCGCATTTGTGATCCCATGTGGATGAAATTTGACACAGTTCACTTATTTGGCCCAACGACGAACCCTATTGAAATTGGGAAAGATTTAGATATAGCTCCCATATATATTTTCGTCCGATTTAAGGTAAATAGTGTACCAAAGTCCCTATATATATTTCGATTTGAACGAAATTTGGCACAGCGTACTGAATTAAGCCTAGAACGATGTGTGTTAAATTTCGTGAAAATCGGTTCAGATTTAGATATAGCTCCTATATATATTTTCGTCCAATTTTAGGTAAATAGTGCACCAAAGTCCCTATATTTCCTTCCATTTGCACGAAATTTGGCACAGCGTACTGCATTAAGTCTAGAACGATGTGCGTTAAATTTCGTGAAAATCGGTTCAGATTTAGATGTTGCTCCCATATATATTTCGTCCGATTTTAGGTAAATAGTGCACCAAAGTCCCTATATATCCTTCGATTTGCACGAAATTTAGCACAGCGTACTGAATTAAATCTAGAACGGTGTGTGTTAAATTTCGTGAAAATCGGTTCAGATTTAGATATAGCTCCCATATATATTTTCGTCTGATTTTAGGTAAATAGTGCACCAAAGTCCCTATATATCCTTCCATTTGCACGAAATTTGGATTTATAAGTAAATAAAGAACTTAAAATGTGGCCGAATGCAAAAAAACATAATGAAATAACTGTAACCTAAGATGTGGCAAGTTTCGATGAAATCGGTTTAGATTTCGATATTTTGCTTTAAATTTATTTACATAATTTTGTTCCATTGTAAGAAGCAACTCTATATGTGACCAAAATTTAATATAGGTTGCAGAATGACATGTTTAATTTCACGTTTATGGTCCTTAAAAAATGCGACGTCTGTTAGGACTCCATCTGTTGAATATACCCAAAGTGGTGAAGGGTATCATATAGTCGGCTCCGTCCGACTTTACTACTTTCCTTACTGGTTTTAATCTGTGTAATGGAAGTAAGAGAGATTTCGAAAAATAGTGTTTATGTGTATAAACGGTACTAAATCACAAACTATAGTCCAACAAATTTACAGTATTCACGATTACATATGAAATATTTATTTATTTATTTATTTTTTGTATTCCATTTCCGCAGACGAAGTAGCGGGCACTTTGCTGGTATCTGTATATATATGTATTTCCGAATATATTTTGAACAAAATATTCAAGAAGTTCGTGTATTTTTTTTCAAAGACATTTCCCACTCCTTTTTGACTAAGCGCATTAAATTTAGTAATATTATGTCAAAGAATAAAATATTCTACGTCAAATTCTACTGCAAGCCCCAAAAACAAACAATATATGTATATTCAATAGATTTTAAGAAATTTACAGTATAAAATTATCAATAATAACAACAATTTTGTTGCTGCCTCTAGTTATTTTTATACCGTAAAGGTCATAAAAACTATTGAATATAAATATATAGTTTGTTTTGGGACTTGCAGTGTAATTTAACTTAGATTATTTTATTCTTTGTCTCGAAACATCGAAACTACATTTAAAATTAATCTATCTTACAACAACGCTCTCAAATTTCGTTTGATTCGGATTATCTACGTCTAAGGACAGTATTCCAGAGTCTTTACTTCCCCTCAAAGAGATTCCAATTTTTAAGAGGGTGCGAAGGTGCCAAAATTACTTCTGTCGCACCCTCTTAAAAATTACAAATATGCCACTAAATGCTTTACCGTCCACGAAAAAATGGAATACCACAAAATTGCAATTATGAGGAATCCAGACTTTATATCGAGATGAAAGATGTTGCAAAACGTACAGAACATATTATGGACAAACAAGAAGAAATTTAAAGAATTCTACTGGAATTCAAAATTTTCTGTTGCAAAACTAAACTTATTTAGAGAAAACAAAAAAAACAAATAATTTCATACGTCCCTGGTGGTAAGCAAATTACCATTTAATTTATGAGATTTTTTCAACATAAAAAAATCACAAACTAACACACCGAAACTCTTTGCTTTGCTTGAAATGTTTAGACAACAGCGGAAATTAGTGTTGTATTAACATCAACGATGCTCTAGTATAAATTAATCGCCGATGATGATCAACAGCATCAGTTTCAACGTTTACTTCAATCTGTAAACTACTTCTCTAGTCAATTTTTATAGAACCATTTCATAATTTAAAATGGTTAGTTGAAAATCCAAGGAGCACTTCGAACATCGACAATATTGATTGAGTTAATCGGATTAAATTAATCAACAATATGTTTTGCATTATGTGAAAAATTGTGTGAATGTGATTTTTTATGAATAATGCATCAAGTGTATTTTATTAGTTCCTAAAAATATAGTTTGAAAAATAAAAATATGTGTGCCTTATCTTTGCAGAAATTCTTCATTGCTTTCGCTCTATTGGCTGTCGCTGCCGCCGATGTCAGCCACTTGTCCAAGAAATACTTGCCACCTCAACGTACTAGCGTTGAAACCACCTATTCCGTACCAGCTGCCACAGTTCAACAGACTTACACCGCTCCTGTTCAACAAACCGTTCAATACCACGAACATCATGAACACCACGCTGTTGCCCCAGTCACTGAATACTTGCCTCCCGTTCAACAACAAACTGTCCAACAAACCTACACTGCCCCAGCTGTTCAACAAACCTACTCCGTCCAACAAACCTACTCTGCCCCAGCTGTCCAAGAAACCTACTCTGCCCCAGCTGTTCAACAAACCTACTCTGCCCCAGCCGTCCAAGAAACCTACTCTGCCCCAGCTGTTCAACAAACCTACTCTGCTCCCAGTGTAAGCTACTCTGCCCCAGTTGTCCAACAAACCTACTCTGCTCCAGCTGTTCAAGAAACCTACTCCGTCCCAGCTGTACAAACCACCTACTCCGCTCCTTCTGTAAGCTACTCTGCTCCTGCTGTCCAACAAACCTACTCAGCTCCAGCAGTCCAAACCACCTATTCCGCGCCTGCTGTCCAACAAACCTACTCTGCCCCAGCTGTTCAAACCACCTACTCTGCTCCAGTTGTTCAACAAACCTACTCTGCCCCAGCTGTTCAGACCACCTACTCCGCACCAGCTGTCCAGACCACCTACTCAGCTCCAGCTGTTCAACAAACCTACTCTGTCCCTACTGTAACTGATACTCAATACGCTGCCAATGGTGGTTACATTTACAAGAAGAAGTAAATCGTCTGAAACTGTTAAACTATTTAATTTTAGAAAAATTGTTATAACTCTTTAAAAAAATGTTAAATTAATTATAAAGTAATAAAAAATATTTTTGTTATTTAAATGATTTTTTTTTCTTTTTAAAACATATTTAAACATTTTAATTTTTTAAAACATAAAAATAAAATGTTCGCTACTTGGTTCAGAATTTGTAATTTCGTCGCAATCGGACCATATTAGTGTATTTGTTGCACTATTTAGATGAAATCGCCGGAAAATATATAAAGGACCTATATTTAAATCCGAAACAGTTTCAACAAAATTCAATACACGTCATTCTAAGCATAATTTGGAACGCTGTGCAAATTTGTAAATATAGGGCAAATTTATATGAGGCTATATCCATTCGGAAACCAGACTTGATTACCTCTGGTGGAAAATTCCAAACATTGGGATGTTCCATTATATGAGGACTCTGCCTAATCTGGACCGATATAGCTCATTTTCTAACCTGACATTTTAATTTTGTATCTTAATACCCTCCGATGGTAGGACACTTACAATAACTTTTAACCCCCAAATTACCGAATATTGGCCTACCGTTATATAGAGGCAACCCTAAAACTTTGTTCAATATTAAAAATTGTTCGTATGGAAATGTGATACACAATGATGATTCAAAATACCAAATTACCTCTGGTAGAAAATTACATACATTGGGATGTTTCATTATATGAAGACACTGCCTAAATCTGGACCGATATAGCTCATTATCTTAATACCTTCCGATGGTAGGACAATTGCAATAGCCTTTAATCCCCAAACTACCGAATATTAGGATACCGTTATATAGAGGCAACGCTGAAACTTTGATCAATATTAAAAATTGTTGGTACGGAAATGTGCTACACAATGAGGACCCAAAATACCAATTTGCTGGAAAAAAATTTCCATGATTTCAAAAATATCAAATATTCGGGGGTATCGTCGTTTGTGTCACGTTTAATTTTTTTAATTAATTAATTAATTTTTTTTTGTCATTGGTTGGCAAACTTTTCCTGTCAGTTAATACTTATTTGGATCAATCAATAATGTCTATTTTAATGGACTATTTAACAATAAGAAACTCAAGGTCATTTAAATTTTTGGAAAGTGAATCTTTAATATTAGTTTGCTAAATTTCAATAGGCCTATAGTGCAACTTGTAAATGCGGTTAAATTAATGTAGAAATGTGTTTTTTTTATTGAAATATATAATAAACTATAAAACTTCGCACCTTCAATGACATTTACATATGCTAATGAACATTAAACGAGTTTTAGGCCTCTATTGTTTTATCACTATTGTTGCTCCGGTTACATTTGTCATTCACAAATCTCCATTCATGGCGCTGATATTTATGATGATGAATTGTTGTTTACAGTAGCAAACATATGTATACGCACAAATTCAGTATTTATATACATCATCTATGCAAATAAAAGAGTAAAGTGACTGACTGACTTAACGATTCATCAACGACCAGATGAAACGGCTGAATCTATAATCTTGAAATTTGGGCAGAGGGTCACTCTTAGTACGAAGGTGTCAGTTAAGGATTGGTTTTTGGGAAATTCGTGTTAGAACGGCACGAAAGTACAAAATGAAATAATTCGCTGTTGCAAACATAAATTTACTGTGAAAAAAATCATACAATTCAATGTATTCAATAAAATTTGGATTTCGATGAATCAATCGAGCATCATAGAATTAAGGCATGTTTAGGAAATTTGTACTTTGGGTGAACCGATATGGCTGGAATCCGGTAATTGGGAAATACGATTTGCATTAGATTCTATGATATAGGTAGTGATGGAAATTTATATTATGGTGCTACATTTTATACAATCGGGGTTAGGTGTTCCAATAGAGCTGGAATCATGAAGATTGAAATTAAGATAGGGTGTATGATTGGGAAGAAATTCGTACTCATGTATACAGAATGGTACCAAATTTGGTACAATTTGGAGTTGACTGAACGGGCTGGAGTCCTGCAATTGGGAAATATGATTTCTATTCGATTGCTGAGGTGGGTATTTATAGAAATTTATATTAATATGTGCTAAATGGTATTAAATTTGGTAAACTTATAATTTGGGTGAAACTATAGAGCTCGAATCATGAAATTTAGTACTGAATGGTACTCAAATTTTTATTATGGTCGATATTGTTCTCTAGATTGAATACTTCTTCAAATTTTGTATTACAGGTTTTTGTAAAGTTTACCCTTTGTAGAGTAGGGTACCAGAATGAGTGGACCTACGGGCCCCTTCTTTTGACTAAGTCCAGGTTTGGTAAAAAATAAAATCAGGCATTCCATAAGCTTAATATTAGATTAATTTCAAAATTTCGACCGTTTTGTGGAAGAAGTACTAGAAGGAGTGGGTCGAAGAATACCATTATATTATACAATTTATTTTTAACACAAGTTTAACAATTTTGTGGGGGAGCTACCAGAAGCAGTAAACACATTTTCCCCACCTTCCAACTTGATTTGAGTTTCAAAGAAATATGACGATGTGTAAGCTGGTGCGGATAGCCCGTTCGTATGATATTATGAAATTAATTTTATGCAAAATTGTGTACCATTTTGTGGGTGAAGTGCTATAAGGAGTGGACCGATATTCCACATCTTCGAACATGATTTAAGTTTGGAAGAAATATTACGATGTATAAAGTTGGGGTGAAATCAGTTACTCCCTACGGATTTGGTCCAAGGAAACCAATATTTCGATGAGACCAATAAATTTCGCTTCAATATAACTCACTAGCCATAAGACGTAGGGTATACAAGTATAGGTTTATTTGGTTCATTCTCAATTAAACCGGTAGGAAACTTAATCATAAATAATTATAATTTTTATTTTTAAATTGATTGAAACCCAAATGTTTTTCAGTGTATCCAAATATTTGATCATCACTGTAAGTAGATGCAGTAAATGAAGATGTTATTAGCATTTGTGTTGATATGATCTGGTCTACTTTGTTTGTGTTAGACATTTTCATAAACTATGGGAGTAGCACCTTAAGTAGGTAAATGACAAGTAAATTTATGAGATTTTTTTAACATAAAAAACGCACACAAAGAATTGATACCAACATCGGCCTTGTGCTTAGTTGAATTGTTTCCAATATGTTGTTTTTTTTTAGTATAAATGAATCTCCGATTGTAACCAACAGCATCAGTTTCAACGTTTATCTTCATAGTAAACTACCTTTATTTGAGATTTAAGAATCATCTAATATATCAAAATGGTTAGTTGTGGGATAATTAAACAATAACAAATATTTTAAGTAATTAGAATTTAAAATATATTGTTGGGGTTCTGTAACACCTGTTTTAACATTTTATAAAAAAATTGTTCTTCTTACATTTGCAGAAATTCTTCATTGCTTTCGCTCTATTGGCCGTCGCTGCCGCCGATGTCAGTCACTTGTCCAAGAAATATTTACCACCTCAACATGAAACAACATATTCCGTTCCAGCTGCCACCTTCCAACAGACTTACAGTGCTCCTGTTCACCAAGAATACCATGCTCCAGCTCCAGTTACTGAATACTTGCCTCCTGTTGAACAACAAACTGTTCAACATACTTACTCCGTACCTGCTTTCCAACAAACTTACTCTGCTCCAGCTGTCCAACAAACTTATTCTGCCCCAGCTGTCCAACAAACATACTCTGCCCCAGCTGTCCAACACACTTACTCAGCCCCAGCTATCCAACACACTTACTCAGCCCCAGCAGTTCAACAAACTTACTCTGCCCCAGCTATCCAACAAAATTACACTGCTCCAGCTGTTCAACACACATACACTGCTCCAGCTGTCCAAGAAACCTATTATGCTCCCAGCGTAAGCTACTCTGCTCCAGCTGTGCAACAAACCTACTCTGCTCCAGTTGTTCAACAGACTTATTCAGCTCCCAGTGTAAGCTACTCTGCTCCAGCTGTGCAACAAACTTACTCTACTCCTGCAGCTAGCTATTCGGCTCCAACTGTTAACTATGCTCCCTCAGTTGGCTACTCTGCTCCAGCTGTTCAAACCACCTACTCTGCTCCAGCAGTTCAAACCACCTACTCCGCTCCAGCTGTTCAAACCACCTACTCTGCTCCAGCTGTCACTGAAACCCAATACGCTTCCAATGGTGGTTACGTTTACAAGAAGCATTAATTTGTTAGAAACTTTGAAATAATTTAGTTTTAAGTCGTTATGCATTGTTTTAAATTAATTAATTTAAAAATAAAAATAATAATAATAATAAACAATTTAAAATAAAACTATATTTATACCCTTCACCACACTGTGATGCAGGGTATTGTGTCGTTGTGCACATGTTTGTAACAGGCAAAAATAATCTAGATAGTCCCATGGTTCCTTTTGGGAATATGCATAGAATCACTTTCTGAGTCGATTTATGCATGTCCGTCTGTTCGTCCGTCCATGTATTTTTGTTAACGAAGTACAGGTCGCTTGATGATCCGTTTTGGATGAAATTTGGCACAGGTCACTTAATCGGTTCAGATTTAGATATAGCTCATATATATTTCCGTCCCATTTTAACTTATTGATGCATCAAACTCCCAATTATGGTCCGATTGAGACAAATTTTTGCGCAGAGTATTAAGTAAGTATTAAATTAGGTCTAGATAGTTGGTTTGTTGAAATCGGTTCATATTTAGATATAGCTCCGATGTATAGTTTCGTCCGATTTAATGTAAATAGTGCACCAAACTCCCAATAGTGGTCCGACTAAAGCAACATTTTGCACAGAGTACTGAATTAGGTCCCGACTGATGTATGAGAAATTTTGTTGGAATCGGTTCAGATTTATATTAATATGCTATATATAGTTTCGTTCGATGTTATGTAAATGGAGCAACATACTGCCAATATGTATCCGATTGAGACCAAATTTTGCACAGCGTACTAAATTAGGTCATAATTAATGAATGCGTTTTGTTGAAATCGGGTCAGATTTAGATATACCTCCCATATATAGTATCGTCCGA